AATGGGATTTTTTTTTTCTTTATTTGTTTCAATACAAGGTTAGCAGGATGGATGGAATAGAGGTGAGGAATCTCTTCTTCTTCTTCTTCTTCTTTTTTTCTTTTTTTTTTTTTCTTTTTTTATCTAAGTTGTTTGGGATTTTGAGAAAAAATGGTCATGGGCTATTTGGGCCTGAGGAGAAAATGGAAAATAGCCTAGCCCAACCATATGTCCTCTGGCCCATGAGAGAGACAAGCAATCCACTTCAGCCTCAACCTGCGAAGGAAAGGAAAAGGGGGATCTTTTGAGCATGAAATTCTAAAAAATCAAAAAAAAAAAGAAAAAAAAAGAGTGAAAGATAGAGATAGAGAAAGAAAAAGGTATTCCCTAAAAAGAGAAATTCTTTGTGCATGATATAATTATAATAAAATATTAAAGTTAAAAGATAATGATAAGTAAAGTAGATAATTATCTTAGAATAAATTTTTAGTAAAAAAATAATTATATATTATTCTATAACGGAAAGAGTACTTAATAAGGTTACCCTAATTGCTCGTAAAAATACTGAAGATGGTCCATGTGTGTTTATTTGAAGGTGAGGAGGGTAGGTTGATCCTTCGTATCTACTGAATTCATATTTTGACTGAAATTGCAGGGAACTCTTGAATTCAATCTTTAATGCTCATAAAAATATTCGGTAAGCCTACTTAAAGCCTTTCCTAACTTTCTACTCTTTGGTTGCCTGCATTTTTTCCATTTTTATTTCTGTTCTGCGGAGATTTAAATCTTCCCAGTTTCCAGACTTAATTATTTTCAGCTGCTTTGTCCTTCTTTTTCCCTTTTTCTCTTGACCCATCACCCTGCCTAGGCAACCCATAAAAAGTAGGATTCATGATCATCTTCTGATGAACACATTTTCTCTCGGGCTGAAATCGAAAACCGGTTGGATGTACTTTTCTGGATGAATCGGTGTTTGGACACTACTTGATCTTTTTTATTTTTTATTTATTTATTTTTGTTTGGACTATCAGAGTGTTCTTCTTCTAGTCAACTTTCATGCTATTTGAGATTAATTTTTATCTGAACAATTTTAAAAACACACTCTTACATCAGTCTATGCATTTAAAGAAGTTTATTGTTTTGAGTGTTAGTTCCAATATTTAAATCCTGAATATAAGATAACACTGGCTTATAGCTACTTAATGAAATAGAGCTGCTGCTTTGTTTTGCATTATTGAAATCAACAGAAATAGAACCCAATTGGGATTGGTTTTTTGAGGTTGTTGATGAGTATTGAAAAGTTTTAACTTATAATGAAGTCACTTCTCTGGTATTAGCAGTCTCTCAACAAAATCCCTAGTATGAGCTAGCTTAATTTCATGGACAATCCTGAGAACATCCTCAAGATGGATGACAGAAATCTCCACACGTAACGTGTATACATGTACAGTGAAACTAAAACAACCAAAACCAACCCATAGAGTCGCAGAGGTTAAAGAGTTATTCAAACATCTCCATCATGACAAAAATGAAAACCCAACATACCTAAACAACAAATGAACAGTTTGACACTTTGGTTGAGGTTTTTTTTTTTTTTTTTT